TCTTATGTTATATATATATTAAAATTTTCCTTAGAGTCATGTTATAAGATATATTGCAATTAGAATGAGATGGAAAATATTTCAAATAAGCCTAGCAAGTTTCTTTTGTCTTTCCAAAGTAGTTTATACCTCTGGTCATAAATCCTTATCTTACATGTATGTCACTCCAATTAAGAGATACTTAAACTAATGGCGAAATCTGTCAAATGGCAGTAGAGGTAGGTAGATTTAAGATCTTTTGAGTCATTCAACAAATGTGGAAGTAGATTCATGTCCTGCATGAACACTACTGCAGCAAATGAACATATCAAGCCCCAGCTGGAGGACCAGGAACCAGCACTGTGGAGGAAAGTTATCTTTTAGAAAGAATACAATAGTGATCTCCAGCCGCACAATGCTACACCTTAGAACACTGCAATATGGAGAGCAAAAAGGGGAAAAAAAAATGATAAAGAGTGTCAATGTTGAATTTTTAAAAGGCTAATTAAAAGTAGAAACCTTTTAAAATAAAAATGAGTTTTTATAATGTACCTAAGTTTCGAGATTAGTATTTTTGTAACTTGTTTTTGTCTGCTTATAGGGGCAACTTTAATACATATGAAATAGAAAAAGAAATGGGAAGAATGTCAAGCTTCCAGCCCACTTTTTAACCTCAGGAAATTGTTTGAATGGTGAGACTCTGAAACAAAACTCTTGAGTCTCTTCCCCTCAAAACTGTTCCTTACCACCATAACCCTTACCTAATCCATTAGCAAGATCTGTCACTTCCTCCTTCAAGTTTATCTTCACCACATCTACTACTTCTACCTAAATCACATCCTTCATTATTTTTCACCTGAATAACTGCTGTAACCTTCTGAGTGGTCTCTTCTCTTTGGTTCCTACTTCCCATGTTCTCATCTTCACAGGAAACCAGTTACATGACTCTCCAGCTCAAAACCATGGCTTTCCACCACTGTATTACATGACACTCCCTGGTCCTGGCCTACAAGGTCCTTCAGGAACTAGCTCCAGCTCCCTCTCCCCCCTGAACTTCCTGTTGCCCTCTTCCTTATTTACTGTATCTTTGAACTTCCTAAGGGGCCTTTTCCTTGTTTACCGTACCCTGCTGTGCTGGTCCTTCTGCTGGTCCCCCTCTGCCTTCCCTAACACCAGATTAAAAGAGCCTGCTCCTCCACATGACTCATCAATGCAGTCGCAACACTCCCTCACCCAGCTGAGATGTCTTAATATCCCCTACCAATATCTGAAAATGCTAGTGTTTACTTTTATGGGTTTATCATGTATCTCTCCCTCTAGAGAGCAAGTTTCACAAGAGCAGGACTTGAACCCGTGTAAACTTGTATCTCAGATTCTAGAAGATAGTTAGTACTTAATAAATACACCAAAGAGTAAGTGAATATACAGATGAATAACACATTTTTTTCCCTTAAAGGAATCAAAATGAAATCTGTCCTTAAAGGCTATTTATTTTTCTAAGTGACTAGGTTTAATAAAACAAAACACCTTCTTGTATACAGGTGACTACTACTTAGTGTAATCTCTACAGCATACAAAAATGTGTTCAACAGCATCTCTATATTTAAGGAGTTTACAATTTAGTGCAGAAGTGTGTGTGTCCTGTAATAACAAGGGAAGATTACAGCTAGACAGAACCTCAGGATGAGTGATGCTCAAATCCCTCTCTCCTGTGAAGATCAGAGGAGTGGTTTGAAAGGAATAAACGAGGGATCAAGGAAGAATGGCAGCAGTTAGCTTTTATGGAGTACTGACCCTGAGCCAGGTACTGTGACTGCCACTCTACATGCTCAAAAGTCATGACCTGGATCTTGAAAGTTGGGAAGAAATAAATACAAACACTTGTTAAACAGAGGTTCATCAGACTACAGTAGACTAACATGGAAGGAAAAGATGAGAGCTGACAACATGAGGGTATAGCTAGGAGGTAGCAAGGGGCCCATATGAATACAGTAAAGGCTAAAAACAAAGGAACAGCAGGAGACGCTGTTGCAAAGGTAGAGTAAGCGGTTACCAAGGGTCCTGAACACCAAGTCACACTGCAGTCTTTGTCTGGAAGCCAAAGGGAATCATGGGAAGAGAGTGAGGAGGCAAAATACATTTTATAGAAAGAACTTAAAAGTTTGTGTGTTAGATACAGGCTCTTGGTGTGTTAGGTTTCACGTGTAGTGTTTTAAAAAGCTGAATCTCTCTAGACAAGGTATGGACATCTACTCCCTATTACTTGGTAACCAAATCATTGCATTTACTTCTATTATCTGATTGGTCCCTTTGGGTACTGGCCTAGACTCCAAGTTTGTACAGTGCTAAAGTAAGACCATTTGAAAGGGGAGAGGAAGATAATATTACGGATGGGGAAATTTATTCAGTAGTTGTTGCAAAAGTCCAGGAAAAGGCAGTAACTATGTAAATTAAGAGTGATTAAAGTAAATAAGAAAGGCACTGGGTACAGGAAATATGTATGTATGATGCCTTTAGTTTAACAGTTGTCTGACTCCAAGGACTATGAGTTTGCTAAATCAAGGGAAAGAACAAACAGAAAAATTAGAGGGCACAATGAAAAAAGAAAGGCTAGGTGAGATCATCCTTTTGGAGCTCCGTAGATACATAAATCCTGGATCAACCATTTTTCCATGAAACCTTGCATGTTGTCAGAAGATTGCATTTTGTTTATTGTAAAGAAACTGGGCTTCTGCTCCCCTCAAAAGAGCCATTTCGGAAAGACAACAATGACTGCTGTTTCTAAGGTCCTCCTTTGTTTGAGATCCATAGAACAGTTACTTATGTGATTTCATAAAATACTGTTGCTCAGTCATAGGTAAGGGAATTCCAGGGACTAGTTAGCTTAGTAACTTAACTTTCCTGTGATCTAGCCAAGAAACAGGGATCAAGACTGCACAGAAGTCACTTCCCTTAGATAATGTCTCTGAAGACAAATCCAATAGCAATTTTGGGTTGTCATCTTTCTCCCTATCAAAAAGTTCTAAGCTATGTCCTCCCCTATTTTGTTTTCTGTGACATAGGCAGGCCTGAAAATATATAAGTAAATGCTACCAGTACATACAGAAGGCAGGGAATATATTTTCCCCTCTTTCAAATTTAAAGCTTTCTAAAGACACCAGCAATAGCAAAGAGGCTTATTTCTAACTTATCACATTATATTATTATTCCTAAAAACAAAAATCACTTGAATCTGAAGCATTTACCATAGTTTTATGAACATATAACATCTCTGAAAATAAATTATGCATATATATGTTAATGAAGAAAAATGAATTTATCTTCATATAACATACTGTGTTGCTACAATTTGCTCCCAAGAGCATTTCTGAATTAGAAACATGATTATTTTCAATGTTAAGACACAGATTTTTATAAAATTTACCCAATATTTGATTTTGTTTTCACTTATTTAGAAAACAAAACAACTCTCTCATGCCCCAACATTTAACAGTCTATTGTAAGCTGAGCAGACTTTTACTACCAGAATGGGTTGAATCATAATAACACTTTGAATCTGGGCAGCAAATTTCTCAGGTTTTGATGCTAGGAATAGCTGGAGATAATCAACCTTTCCAGGCTCCAGAACCAAAGCAAGTCAATGATTTATTAGCATTTCCAGGTTCCAGTGTGAAGGGAGTTTGGGTGCTGATATTAAAACAATCATGTATTGCAATAAAATTTCATCATTTCACAGAAATTTGGATACTCAAATTTAGCAAACATATAACCCTTGGAGTCAGACAACTGTTAAACTGAAGGCTTCATACATGCAATGTCCATATCTGAATTTGTAATGCCATTGCACTCACATATAAGAGATACTCACAGAAATGTTACTGAATGAGGAAACACATGTTTTACTTTTCTATTCAATTTTGTCAGGAGGAAATTAAGAAAAATCATAGTTCATGGAGAACTGACTAGAAATGGCAATGAAGGGAGTAAATAATATGTTAGTAACAGTTGTAAATATTTCAAAACTTTTCACAGGATTTATATTGTCTACTTTGGCTTTGTTACTTTTCCGTATTTCCCTACTGTTAATTTTTTTTCAATAATAAAGCAAAGTTTTAAAAAAGGGATATAAATGGGATTTAAAAGCTAGATAAAGAAGAAGAGTGGCAGCCAGTATGCTAATTTTTAAAGACTTAGGAAAATAGTACTCCATCAGATTGGTAACTGGTGGAGTCAGTATTTGAAATAAGGCTATCAGACTTTTCTCCTTCCACTATATCAGGCTGCCTAACCTAGGGGTTATAGTTTTGGTATGAGTTTTATCTACTTTTTTTTTTGCGCCCTAAAATTAAAAAAAAAATGTATTATCAAACAAAGGAGAATGGTCATCTTGATTCCCTCCTTTTCTTTTCTTTTTGGTTTTGATTGGCTTCATTATTATTCAGAGAAGGTTTTAAATTCTGATTAATTTATAATATTTGATTTAGTTAAGCGGTGAATATTAAGTTTGTTTACACCTAAGGTTTATAAATTAATACCATGTGAAAGGGAAGACTCACAACACACACTTAATGACTTAAAAATCCTTCAAGTATTTACTAGGTTTACTGTATTTTAAAATGTCTCCTAGGTTCTGTTATATTAAAGGAATTATGATATATTAATAAGAGGAAGAAATAATGAATACATGTTCTGTCTAAGTGTATAGAAGGAAAAGGAGATTTCCTTACAAGAATGTGACTAATTTTATCTTGATCATAATTCCTGGGACTACCAAATAAAAGTCAAAGAAATATAAAAAATGGTGTCATAATGCTTACTGTATCGGGACATGCAATATAACTTCACTCTAATATCATGTTTCAGAGGTATTTTACTCAATATGTAAATAAAAATTACCAATGTTTAAAAGTTTACACTAAAATTCCTCATGTTTGAAGCTAGAAGTTTACAGAAACAAGGCAATATACAGTACATAAGTCCTTTTAAAATTTCATTGTACTTATATTAAATTTCAAATTTACCTCTGCAATCTCTATCCTTTTTGCAAGATCATCGAGAGAAAGACAGCCAGTATCATCAGAAGGCAGGTTCTCCTGCAGACTATAGGATGCTTCTTCAGGAGAAAGATCTTGGAGATCAGAGTCTTCCTCTTGGTTGTCTTCATTTGAAAGGAAATCTTCAGCATCCTTTAAGCATCCTTCTAAAAGGCTGTTCAAATAGTCTTCTGTTTCTTTATTGACCTGGTCGTCCTTATCTCTCTTTTCTTCTGGGGCCATATACACTTCCCGTAGTGCTGCACTTAAGTCAGATACTTCTCCATTTTCACAAAGTACACCCTCACAGTCCTCTGAGTCAGTCTGCCCCAGTGGTGGTGATTTTCCATTACTATCAGTGAGATCAGGTTGCTGCAGCTCATTTAGTTCATTGTTCTCATGTTGGTCTGTGATCAATGCCTCAGAAGCATCCTGAAGTGGCAACTGGAATTCCGTTCTTTGAGTCTGTGTATATTTATTGTCAGAAATCAACACAGGAGGTATGTCAGGCTCTACCATCGAGTTGCTGGCAAGTAACACCTTAGGGTCTTCAGCGATACCTTCAATTTTGGCCACATCTTGGCAGGCTTCTGTTTGAGACAGCAGCAAGCAGCTGTCATCCTCACAAGCATTCTCAGAAGACTCTGACCCAGGCCTGCTCAGCGCTACCGGCTCTGAGGGCTGGGCGGCGACCTCTGGCTTGGCTTCAGCGCTGCAGAGCTCCTCCGTGTGGTCCTTCCCTGAAGTTACCACAAGGGTCTGGGGATCTGCCTGCCTGTCCACCTGACTACAGCAGGGGCCGCTCTCCAGGGTCTCTTCTTTATGCTGATTTTCTTTACTTGATTCCATGCCAAGACAAGTTGCACTCTCTGAAGGGGAAGAAAAACATTTGGCCGTAAAGCTCAAAACAACACTTTCTATAGGAGGCAACCAGAATGTACGAATGGGTGTACCACAGTATTCTAAACCTCTCATAGGGAAATTTTGGAAATTTTATCTGTTGGATAATAGTGTCTTTATAAAGGAAATACCCTAAATGTTCGGTAAATAATCCCTTACATATAACAATTAACAGAGTATTCAAAATATGTTAGGACTACAAATAGTTTACATTATCACTGAAAAAGACATTATTCAAAGGTTTTAAAGGTATTTTTCTGAACATTATTGACATTTTTATATTTAAGTGAGTATTTTAAAGTTTAGAAAAATCATTTTCCATGTATCTAAGACATGGCATATTAAGTAAATATTTCAATATGATGAACTTTAGTGATAAATATATTTAATTTAAAGTGTAAAAACAGCATTATTGCTTCTGATATATGAAGACTAAACTATGGAATAAGTCTATACAGTCAAATTTTATTTAACCATAGATTCTTGGAGCAACATGGCGGCGAGGAGACGCTGCGAGTAAGATCTCCCATTAAAAAAAGTGAATAGGGAGGAAAAGCGGCAGGTCCCAGTGAGAACTGGGACACGGAAGATAAACGGGTGACGCCAGCGAACTGCCCAAAGAAGAAACTGGCCATAAAAGAGGACTAGAAGGGAGGGAAGCGCAGAACCCTGCTCCCCTCCCCCGCCCACAGAGGCGGCACTCTCCGACCGGCAGAGAGGAGGAAACAACACACCAAAACGGCCCACAAGAACAAACGACGCAGCAAGCGGGACTGTGAGTGGAAAGGAACTATTGCAGCCACCACACCCCATGAACGGGAGCTGAGGCGAACCCTGCAGGATCCGCCGCGGCGGTGAGCGAACGGCTCCGGGCGCCATTAGAGAAGAACAAAGACCCCGGGAGACGCGCACACAGCCAGGGCTGCCGGTAAGCCTGCGCGGGAAAGCAGCGCGCTTGGCACGCTTGAAAAGAAAACGCAGACCGGAATCCCGGCTGCCCAGGTCCCCGCGCCTGCGACCTAGGCTTGCGGGGAGATGCGCGGAGGTCCTCACTGAGGTGAAGGTCCCTCCCTGAGTGAGCAGGAACCAGGCGCCCAGGCACGGGAGCTGTGCAAAAGGCGCCAATCCTGCGCCACTGAACTGGGCTACAGCCCGCATCCTGGAACTGAGGGCTTTGAACTGAGACCCGGGGCACGAAAATTCGGGGCGTGGTTTCTCCACGACGGTGGGGCACAAGGCAGACACAGCACCCCAAAGCTGTTGAGGTGTACCCTACCATTCCCGCTCTGTTCTCTGTCCCACGGGGTGGGGGGAGGCGAAAAACAGCCCCCCAAGGACAATAGGAGAGATCTCTGGCGCCACCTAGCGACCAGGAAAAAAAAAACTCACTAACACCCTATAAAACAGGGCATTTCTTAAGACTGCTTGAAAAGGGCAGAAGGTTTCTGGAGGACCCAGTGGCCAGCCGGGAAGTTATTCCATGCCAGGCCCCTTCCGACCAGCAGTCTGAGCCCACAGAGGGAGCAGGCACCCACGTCCGGGGCAGACCGGGTGCGCAGAAGAGTGTGCCTGAAACCGGAGGCACAGGGACTGCATCCCGCTTCGCCATTTGAGAACAGGGACATTTCTTCAGTAAAAACTGCCTAAAACCAGCAGAAAGCTCCCCCAGAAGACAGAGATGGCTCCTGGAAGAGCCAGAGGGGAGCGGAGAAGTTCACCCAAGATGTCAGTCAGTCCGAGCAACACAGTGTCCCAACGCATACGACAAATAAGAAAACAGACAGTAGGGAGTAGAAGAACCACACGCAACCTAAAAACTCCTCAGGAAAGAAGCACACCACAAAAAGAAAACCACTCCCCAGATTGCAACGACAGCGACTTGGAAGAACTTCTGAGCCTTCCAGAAAGAGAATTTAAAATTGCCATGATTAAAAAAGTGATAGATCAGAAGAAGGAAATTGAGTCCCTAAAGAGGGAAGTAAGAGAAATGCAGGAGATCAAAGAATTAATGGAGGAACTAAAGAACTCTGGGAAAAGCAATGAAAGCAGAATAGATGAAATGGAAGAACGAATAAGTAATCTTGAAGACACAGAAATAAAAAGAACCAAAACAGAAAAGGAAAGAGAAGTACGAAGGAAAAAGAATGAAGAAAGACTTCGGGAACTATCTGACTCCATGAGGAAAGGAAATATAAGAGTTATAGGAATTCCAGAAGGAGAGGAGAGAGATGTAGGAACAGAGAAAATATTCATGGATATAATTGAAGAGAACTTCCCAAATGAGAAGAAGGAGCTGAAAATTGATATACAAGAAGCAAGAAGAACACCAAACTTCCACGACGAAAGGAAAAACACAGCAAGACACATAATAGTAAAGCTCCCAAGAATCCAGGACAAGGAAAAAATAATGAAGCTGACAAGAGGGAAGAAACAGATAACATTCAAAGGAAAACCAATCAGGCTGACATCAGACTTCTCTGAAGAAACACTACGGGCAAGGAGAGAGTGGAGGGACATAGTCAACAGACTCCAAGAAAACAGATGCCAACCAAGAATACTCTATCCCGCAAAGCTCTCTTTCCTCCATGAAGAAAGAATATGGACCTTCCCAGACAAAGAGAAACTCCGGAATTTCATTGCGACTAAACCCCCACTCCAAAAAATACTACAAGGAATCCTAAAGCCAGAACCTCAGAGGGACGAATAACAACGAAAGAAGACCAAAAAAAAAAAAAAAAGTTATTAAAAGAATAAATAAATAAAATCAAAGGAAAGACAAACATAATGGCAAATACAGATGCTAACATATCAATATTAACTCTAAATGTAAATGGACTAAACTCTTCAATAAAAAGACACAGAGTTGCAGCCTGGATTAAGAAACAAAACCCAACCTTTTGCTGTCTCCAGGAAACACATTTAGCTACAAAAGATAAAAATAGGCTCAAAGTCAAAGGATGGAAAACAATCCTACAAGCAAATGGGCCAAAAAAGAAAGCAGGAACAGCTATACTTATATCAGATAAAACAGACTTCAAACTCAAAAAAATAAAAAGAGACCCCAATGGTCACTACATTATGATTAAGGGGACAATACTTCAAGAAGAAATAACACTCATTAACATATACTCACCAAACGAAAGAGCACCAAAATATATCAGACAACTGTTGTCCTCTCTGAAAACAGACATCAGAGAAAACACATATGTAGTGGGAGACTTCAACACACCACTATCAACAATGGATAGATCAACAAGACAAAAAATAAGTAAAGAAACTAAAGCTCTAAATAAGGACCTAGAGCATTTGGGCTTAACAGACATCTATAGAACACTAAACCCAAAAAAAACGGAGTACACATTTTTCTCAAGCGCACACGGATCATTCTCCAGGATCGATCACATACTGGGGCACAAGACAAACATCAACAGATACACCAAGATTGAAATCGTACCAACCATCTTTTCTGACCACGAAGGCATCAAACTAGAAATAAATCATAAAAAGAAGGCAAGGAACTATCCTACCTCATGGAGATTAAAAGCCACACTACTGGAAGACCACTGGACTAACGAGGAGATCAAAGAAGAAATTAAAAAATTCTTTGAATTGAATGACAAGGAGGACACCAATATCCTAAATGTATGGGATGCAGCAAAAGCAGTAATAAGAGGAAAATATATAGCAATAGAAGCTCACATCAAAAAACAAGAAAGAACTCAAAGAAACAACCTAATCTCGAAGCTCAAAGATCTAGAAAAAGAACAACAAAAAAACCCCAGAACCAGTAGAAGAAAAGAAATAATAAAAACCAAAGCAGAAATAAATGAAATTGAAACTAAAAAAACAATCCAAAAGATCAATGAAACCAAGAGCTGGTTCTTTGAAAAAATAAATAAAATAGACAAACCCCTAGCCAGGCTCACAAAGGAAAAAAGGGAGAAAGCACAAATACACAGAATCATAAATGAAAGAGGAGAAATCACAACGGACACAGCAGAAATCAAAAGAATAATCAGTAACTACTATGAACAGTTATATGGAAACAAGTTCAACAATCTAGAGGAGATGGACAAATTCCTACAACTCTACAATCACCCAACGCTAGATAAAGAAGAAATAGAACACCTAAACAGGCCAATTACAAGCAGCGAAATTGAAATGGTAATTAAAAACCTCCCCAAAAACAAAAGCCCAGGACCTGATGGATTTACAAATGAATTCTACCAAACATTCAGAGACGAATTAGTGCCTATCCTTCACAAACTCTTCCAAAAAATTGAGAAGGAAGGGACAATACCAAACACGTTCTATGAAGCCAATATTACACTAATACCAAAACCGAATAAGGACAACACAAAAAAGGAAAACTATAGGCCAATCTCCCTAATGAACACTGATGCAAAAATCCTCAATAAAATTTTAGCTATCAGAATCCAACAATGTATCCATAAGATAATTCACCACGACCAAGTTGGATTCATTCCAGGGGCACAAGGATGGTTTAACATCCGAAAATCAATCAACGTTATCCAACACATCAACAAAAAGAAATATAAAAACCATATGATAATATCAATAGATGCTGAGAAAGCTTTCGACAAAGTGCAACACCCATTCATGATAAAAGCCCTTGAAATTCTTGGGATACAAGGAACATACCTCAACATCATAAAGGCCATCTATGACAAGCCAACAGCCAGTATCATTCTCAATGGTGAAAAGCTGAAAGCAATTCCATTAAGATCTGGAACAAGACAAGGATGTCCACTCTCACCACTGCTTTTCAATATAATACTGGAAGTCCTAGCCAGAGCAATAAGACAAGAGAAAGACATCCAAGGAATCCAAATAGGAAAAGAAGAAGTCAAACTATCACTATTTGCAGATGATATGATAATATACATAGAGAACCCCAAAATCTCCACAGAAAAACTAATTCAACTCATCAATCAATTCAGTAAAGTGG